GGAGTGAATTATTTAAAACTCAACTTAATTGACTGTATTCCTGTCAACAGCCTGAATGTCCACATCTGATTGGTGCATACCTTTCTTCAAGGCAGCCCACCTACAAACTAACCTGTTAGCACCTGCAACTTGCACAGGAGCAAAGTTCACCCACTAAATTAAGTCAGTGCTAACAGGAACATAGATTTAAGCACAAGAAAAAGGAGCAAGACATGAGCAGCATATCTAAAAAAAACTAAAGCGATGTCTTCCTGTTCTTTAGACATGTTTAATTGCGGTGTTTCTGCACCCAGGCTGCCCGTCACCATGCTGCTGTCACCACAACACTAACAGGAAGACACAGTTGACATGTCCTACAGATTCTGTAGGACATGTCAACTGTGTCTTCCTGTTAGTGTTGTGGTGACAGCAGCATGGTGACGGGCAGCCTGGGTGCAGAAACACCGCAATTAAACATGTCNCTAGACTACTTGGGAGCGGTTGTTTGTCCCCAATGGGGTAGACAGCACCAATTGACAGAACTCTGTGAACTGCCGAGGACGTCTCGTCTCGGAGCCCTCCCAATCCCGCCATTCCTAGTCTAAGATGTACTTTAGTCCGATAGACCCGACTCTGGACTTCCCTCTCTGTCTCTCGCCAAAGGGTGTTACTAGGCACCTTAATGGACAGTCGCTCGTCTTAATCGCATCTGTCTAACATTGGAACCGTAAAGGAATGTGTGTGACATGTAAGTGAGGACCGTCACCGTATGCTCGCCGATCGTCTTATCGTTGCCGGTCTTATAATGACGGCACAACTGTCTCGCTTTTGTGGACACGCAATGTACGTACTACTAGACAATCGTAAGTGTCTTTATATACATCTTTTTGCAGGAATGACGCTCGTTGCGAATTTCATAGTTGAAGTCATCTTTGTTGTCTGCGAAGCTAGCACGATTTCGAAGTCAGATTTACACCGACGACATTATTTTTCCATCGAGAAGAGGCATAGTGGTAGTCGACTGGGGGGAAGGACACCTCTCGACTGTAATGTGGGTTACACCAGTTGTTTTTGGGTTTCAAAGACTATTCCGACACCAAGAGACTCCCGATGTCGTACATATCCCAATTGTTGCATCCAGAAGTTCCCTTTGGTCGAGGACGTTATTTGCTTATAATAGTTGAAAGTCTAACTTCAATCTTCGGTACCACTGAAATGCTCACACAGAACTCAAGTGCTACCTGCGGAAGGACCGCGACAAAAGAGAGTGAATCACCTGCCTGCTTCCAGGGGGGGAACAACAACCACCGCAAAGCTGGAGGGGTCCTGAACCCAGCAGCGCGCTAGCAGAGAACTACAGGTCGAGACCAGGACGACCCGGTACACACTTGAACCGCTACTGTTTATGGAGTAAGGCAGTAGAGACGTGTCATGTGACCTCTCTTTCTACCTTAACAGTCTTACCGAACTAAAATATAAAAAGAGGGTCGTTAATCAGAAAAATAATAGTTACCGTAGACCAGTCACCACACACAGAGCTCCTCTCACCTTCATTCTTACTTCACACGCTGGCTACCGTGTCAAACAAATCCTTTGGATATGTCCCAAAGGCCTTTACATACGTCTCCACTCTTTACGCAGTTCCACTAAAATAAGAAAGGTCACCTCCAGAGCCACAGGCACACTTGCTTGATGTTTACAATATGTATAAATAAATGCTACGTGTTGTTTTGTGACATGAATCCCCTTTAACTGATCCTCAGTGTATCGTTTATCCTTCATTTTGCTTACTTGGTATTCTTGGTTACTTCGAACAAGCAGTGAGTCATCATTTTGTGACTGTAACACACACTGCAGTGTTTGCAAAACACTTATCTGTAGGACATGTCAACTGTGTCTTCCTGTTAGTGTTGTGGTGACAGCAGCATGGTGACGGGCAGCCTTGGTGCAGAAACACCGCTTTAGGGGTTTTTGTGTGTGTGTTTGTTTCCAACAACTTCTCAGCTGTTATTACGCCCATTGATCAGATAACCCCAGGTGAACAGCTGCATTGACACACACTCAATAAAAACATAATGTAAAACACGAGTGAGGGCAAAACTGGGCCTCGTTAAACACTAATACAATCATAGAAAGCTTGTAAATACTTCCCCTTCATAAGTAGATTTAAGAGGTTTTAACTAGAAGCGTGGACGGTTGTGTTTGAGAACAATAAGAGAAGCCCAGCCTGGTGACTTTCATGTGTTATGTGGGAAGAAACATTTCTATCTTTTTTCCTTCTTTTATAAAAAAAACCAAGCCTGTTGCTGGGTGTGGAGCGTGTCATCGTTTGAAAGAATGCGTCGGGGTATGATCCGTCCGCGGTGTTTCTGCGTGGACTCATGTTTCCTGGGTTTGTTGTAAAGTTATGAGTGTGTCTCTGCAAACAACTGCAGTCATGTGACACGGAGCACTCTCTGACTCACTCAGTCATTACAGCGTCCCGGCACTTTTTCTTTCTGAGTGGATTTCATCAGATCAAAACAAAAAAGTACCAAAATGCTGCTTAATGTGGATGAAACGGCTCCTTCCCTTTCCCCCTTTCTGAATCTGAGCTCCAACCCCCCCTCCCTTCCCACGTCTTCCCCTTTCCATGAGGCCTCTGTACTCTGCCTTCCAGAGCTAGACCCGAGGCCTCTCTGTCCTGCTCTGTGATTGGCTGAGCCGCACCACATGGTCACAGAGTGGGCTGCCCTGCTCCGCTATCCGCCCAGCTTTCTGGGTGTTCACATGGAATAACTCTACAGCTGCAGTGGGAAGAGAGCAGGGGCCGGGAAAAAGCCAGGGAGAGACGGCGAGCCCAACATGGACATGGCTAACCTATTCAAACATTTCTTTCGTGAGTTTTTTAAACTTTAAGCTGCTTTGTTTGTTGTTTTTACTTGATGTGGAGACTTTGAAGGGAAGTTTGAGAGCTTCTGTCTACTCTCTGTCTGGCTGTGCAGGAGCGGTTGTCAGGTTTCTTCTCCTTTCATGTTCCCTTTCTGGTTTTTCACTTTGATTTCTAGTCACTTTCAGCGTCAGGTCAGCGAGGGAATGTGTCATAATTAGAGCAAAGATGTCTGTGCTAACATGCAGTGCTGGCAGAGAGGGGTTGTCTGAGCAGCGCTTTGAGGCCGTGTCTGTGCTGCAGCGACTGGGTGGATATGCTTTTTGAAAAGGCTTCGGCTGAGCCCAAGCCTGTAATTGCCTCAGCAATCCTTCTCTGTCTCTTTCTTTTGAACACACACACAGTAATCCTACTCCCTTTTCCCAAGCATTTGTCCTAGTGAGTGGGCTGCAACTCACTGGATTACATTATCATGCTTGAAGACCCCCCTTTCCACAATGTTAAGTGGAATATCTCAAGACATGGCCGAAGTCTGTTTTCTTTTATGCTACCCTGAGGGCGAGCTGGCTGTTTCTGGGAGGGTCGCTCCACTCCTCCAGCCCACCGCTAGTCATGAGCTACAGTGGCTGGGTGCTAACGTTGAACACTGTAGGCATTGTGCTGCGAGGGAGCCGGGGGTCTCTGCTGATTGATGGGAAACCGGGCTGCCGTCTCCCGCACCTCGCTCTGTTATCAGAGGAATGTCACTGCCCGGCGTGGATACTTTACAACCTAAGCTGACACGCTTTTTCAAAAGGCCGCGGCGCACAGCCATGCTGTAATCTCACCTTGTAACTGTTGAGTGGTATCTCCTGCCTCTCTATCTGCCCTACTTGCTGCTTGTAAAGAATCCAGAGGGTGTAAAGGGCTGAGAGGAACATGGAGATGAGCTAACAAACCTTCTGCTTGTGTAAACTGAGAGCCTCCTCTGTTTCCCCTCCCTGTCGTTTTCCTGTTTCTCCCCAGCGAACGGAAACTCTAATTCGAGCCACATTTCTCCCCGAGCATTGGAGAGGGAGGAAGTGAGAAGTCAGAAAGGAAGTTGAATCATTGAGCGGTGGTCTGTCCGTTTGACTTTCTGGCTGTCCCTCGTTGCTTCGTTTCCAAATTGTTTTCTCGTAACCGTCCGTCACTGCTTCCACACCAGAAAAAGCAAAAAGACATCATAATTAAGAGATTGGCGGGAGAGTCCTGGACGTCACTCAGGCCTTAAGATGTTTTTCTTTTGTTAAGCTGTCCACTCATCTTTGCTTTCCCGTGACTTAAGACTTGCTCAACAGGAAGTGAGCAGTGGTTTGGACATGTTGAACACTAGCAAGTGTTGTAAACTAATTGTCAGAGAACTGTGAAAACACCCCTCTTCTTTTGGTGTGTTTTATAAGCAAATATTTGCTACATATTTTAATGTCAGTGTTTGTTGCTTTTCTTGCCATTTGTTACAGTAAACTGATTTCAGAATGTTTGAAGACGTGTCAGCCACAGTTTTGTTTCTTTTTATTGACAAAAATATCAAGAAAGATAGAAGAAAATGATTCATACATACATTTTAAAAAGACAATTTCAGGAATTTGATATCAAAGTTTTGGCATCTGTACGATATAATGTCCTTTGTATAAGGGTCACTAGCTTTGAGGTTTGGATAAATAGTAAGAAAAAGTTTGAAAATGACCGTTTTGAAAGAAATGTTCACAGATAGAAAGGCAACCACGTTGTTTCTCTGTCAGGGAAGGGTTCTGATTGGCCGCTGACGGTAAACGCTGCACTGTCCAGAGCTGTAAAAACCAAATGGAGCTCCATCCCTCCCCCCCTCCCTCCCTCTCCATCGCAGAAACTCAAGGCTGTGTTTGAAGTCTCTCACAGCTGAAGTTCAAAGAGCTCTGGATGTTTCCTGTGCAGCTTTCAGTCAGACGCTTTGATTGAAGCTGTCGTCTTAAAAGGTGTCCAAAGACTCCTTCCCCAAGTGAGGAAACATGCCCACACATTCCCTTTAGTTACTTTGACTCACTCTTTCTGACTGCGCACACGCTGTCATTACATTTAATGTACGAGTCTCATACTAAACCATATGGCTGAGGGCTGCGGCGTTGCGTCACACGTCTGGTGAACGCCAGTGACACATTGTTGTTAGAGTTTAAATTGCTGTACACACAGAGAGAGGACAGACATTAGGTTTCTAGTGTTTTGATCCTATTACACATTTAGCTCACACTTTTAAAGGTCACCTCTTCTACATCAACATGTGTCCCCTCTTCTTCATGTCTCTTCTACATCAACATGTGTCCCCTCTTCTCCACGTCTCTTCTACATCAACATGTGTCCCCTCTTCTTCATGTCTCTTCTACATCAACATGTGTCCCCTCTTCTCCATGTCTCTTCTACATCAACATGTGTCCCCTCTTCTTCATGTCTCTTCTACATCAACATGTGTCCCCTCTTCTTCATGTCTCTTCTACATCAACATGTGTCCCCTCTTCTTCATGTCTCTTCTACATCAACATGTGTCCCCTCTTCTTCATGTCTCTTCTACATCAACATGTGTCCCCTCTTCTTCATGTCTCTTCTACATCAACATGTGTCCCCTCTTCTTCATGTCTCTTCTACATCAACATGTGTCCCCTCTTCTTCATGTCTCTTCTACATCAACATGTGTCCCCTCTGTGTAAAGGAACAAAGATTCTCTCTCTTTTTGATCCATTTCTATAAAAATCTGTCTGAAAATGAGCTGATCAGATTTTGGCCACTTTATGTCATTACGATGTTTTGTCTTGTGTAACCATTAACCAATCAGCANACTCAACTTAATTGACTGTATTGCTGTCAACAGCCTGAATGTCCACATCTGATTGGTGCATACCTTTCTTCAAGGCAGCCCACCTACAAACTAACCTGTTAGCACCTGCAACTTGCACAGGAGCAAAGTTCACCCACTAAATTAAGTCAGTGCTAACAGGAACATAGATTTAAGCACAAGAAAAAGGAGCAAGACATGAGCAGCATATCTAAAAAAACTAAACCGATGTCTTCCTGTTCTTTAGACATGTTTAATTGCGGTGTTTCTGCACCCAGGCTGCCCGTCACCATGCTGCTGTCACCACAACACTAACAGGAAGACACAGTTGACATGTCCTAAAGATAAGTGTTTTACGAACACTGCAGTGTGTGTTAGTCACAAAATGTTGACTCGAAGTAACCAAGAATAACAAGTAAGCAAAATTAATAAATAAAAACGATACTCTGAGGATCAGTTAAAGGGGATTCATGTCACAAAACAACATGTAGCATTTATTTATTCATATTGTAAACATCAAGCAAGTGTGCCTGTGGCTCTGGCTGGTGTACGGACTACACTGATCTGATGAACCCTCCCAACAAACAGGGTTACCCCATCGTGTGTTAACTGTCTGAGACACTGACGCCCTGCNGCAGAAGACAGAGAGCGTTTCCCAAATGATCGTGAATACCTGTCAGCGAGCAGAATTAAGCGAAGACAAATTGTAACCTTTGCTACTTACACACACACCACACATTTCACAGGAAGCAAGAAACAAACACCAATAAAAACCTTGACGCTCGGTGCATAACAAGCATGCAGTTCTTTATTTTTGCTACTCCAACACAGTTTTTTGTCTTTACCACATTGCTCCTTAATAGTATGATTTAAAGCTTTACAAAAAAACAAGAGAAAACCAGATATTTACAAAATCTATCTGTGCAAACATAATTCTTCTTTTAACGCCACTCTCCTAAAGGATTTGAAAGGCATGCATACAAATAAACTTTGGTATGTTAACAAAACTACTTATTTTTCTTAGTAGAAGCTTCTATGTACATGTGGTAACCGACTCACTTTAGTACATTTAGACAACGAGACATGTTAACTTAACAAACCGGGACCAGCAGGACACTCTGAGGTCTCTTCAGGCGTCACACAGGAGAGTGAGTCCTGTGACCGGGTGAGGCCTGAAGTGAGTCATTTTATAACAACTTTGGCAAAGAGGCACACTGAAACAAAACCTGTATTACTTATGATACCATCTGTAAAATAAATTGGCAGTTCATATGGGTGAAAATACTCTTAGAAAATAGAAGTTAACAATGCGTCTGTATACACTCAGAAAAAGGCATTTACAAGGGCTGTGTTTAATGTCCGGCAACATAAGAAACATAGATTAAATATACTATTCAATCTCTGCTTTGAAAAATAAAACAACATTTTTTTACACGGTGATTGTACATCAACTCTATATTCCCTATTCAGAGCTACAGCAAGAAAAATAGATTTTTAAACACCATTAAACTCGTCCACTTCTACTACAAAGTGGTAATGTTTTATTAGTTATAAAATAGTCTTTAACAGTAAAAACGGGAGATCTAAAGGAGATGGGTGCGAGAATGCCAGTGTCAAATAAAACAGGAAGTGGGGAGTGCATCACTTAATACTTTTATACAAAATGTTCAAAAACAGCAAACCATGACTATGCAAAAATAAAAACATGAGTAGCTCTACCTGCTAAAGCCACATTTAGTCTAGATGCCAGCAGAGGGAACCCGGTAATGTTGAGAACCCCAAAGTTTAATGATAGAAATGTATAGTACGAGTCCCTAGAACATAGAAACTGCCGGATGCTAACCTTCATATGTTGGACAATTTGCACAATTAGCATAAATTGCGTTAATTAGCATTCACTATGAGTAGTGTTGTGACCGTTGGATATACAGAGCACAAGATGAAAGTGATTACGTCATTATTACTGTGGACAATTTATCATTATATATTCAGATAGTTAAGCAATCTGTTCAATCCAATTGAGTCCTCTAAATCAGGGGTTCCCAACCTGTTTTCCCAAGAGCCCCCCCAAATGACTCCTGTTGGAAGTTGCGCCCCCCCCCCAATGTGAAGTATTTTGTTTAAGGTGGATGAAAGTGTAATTAAGGAGCACTATAGGAGTGACTTTGATGGTTATTGGACGCAGGATTCATTCATTTGGATTCCCGCTGTATGAAGAAATTAAAGGACGGAAACCAATGGAAGTGGAAACAATTCACAAAGGGATTAAACTGTTTAAAACACATGCTCAAAGTAAGCCGGATTTTGCCGATGTGTTTATGTGGATTCAAAAGTCGTAAATAATCTACAAAATGGAGGAGACCGATCTGATCGGAGCAACTGGGACAAATAATCCAACTGAAACCGGCATGGACAATAACTATGTTTTAAAAATGCGCTTATCCAGACAAGCCTGGTTTGGACACTNGTAAACGTCTAGATAGCAATGAGGGGATTGAGGCCCTCCGCGCAGACGTCCGCAGTCACGACGTCGTCAAATTGTGTGCTACCCCATGACAGACAACCTCACTCAATTAGTCTAGTCACCATCTAGCTGTGGTCGTCTCGGGGTCCGTGTGAACGAACACAATGTTATACAATTTATTTCGATGTACAACAAAACCTTGTACTTAGGGATAATTTGACTAGAGTCACATAGCAATAGGAAGTAAAACGAACGCGAACCATAAGAACCATCAAGCTCGTTCGCACTCAGTAGTAAACACGCTATCTGGGCTGAGACCTGAAGGCAGAAGACAGAGAGCGTATCCCAAATGATCGTGAATACCTGTCAGCGAGCAGAATTAAGCGAAGACAGATTGTAACCTTGGCTACTTACACACACCGTCACATTCACTCCTGGCAGTACGAGGCGCTTAGCAAATAGCACAGGCCAGAAATATTACTGCCGTGTTGACAGAGCAGAAAACACCTGTGCCGTTACAATCGTGGCCATGATGAGCTGTTAGCATTCACAGAAATATATGTAGAAAAACTGCCTTACCTGCAGCAACGCTTCAAATATCAACTTCAGTAGAGACACCACAGACGCTTCGATCCGGTGCTCAAGCTTCAGTCTAAATGTGCTCTGTAATAAAAAGGTAGCTCTTCTCCTATTCAACCAATCAGCCTGCGACCCCCTTCCTGTGGAGGCTGTACATTACACACCACAATGTGGTCAACAACAAAACCCAAAGTAGTTCTAGATAAAGGGTGTTCTCTGAGGCTACAGCATGTAGGTTAACAACGTGGTCTCAAGGAAACAGCTCCTGCAATAAAAGAATATATCACTTTCAGATTGAAGTGAGAAAGCATGACTTTACCGAGTGTGTCCTTGAGGTTCTTGACGATGGACGCCTTCCTGGCGCTGTTTTTTCTCTCCACATAGTTGGACGGCACGAAGCCCGTCTTGTTGGTGGCGTTTCGGACCCTCCACCAGGACTTGGAGTCGTCGAGGAGCCAGAGGCGCTCGCTCTTCTTGATGTCCAGCTCCTGGTCCTGCTGGGCCATGTAGTCGAACTTGGCGATGACAATCACCTCTTCCGTCATCTTGCACCCAGTACACTGGAGAAGAAAGATGTGAATGTCAGAATGGCTAGATTTTATATTCTACATTACCTAATTTCAAGCAATTAGTATTTTTATTATACAATGGCATCTGGGTCAGAGTGTGTGTCTCGAGGAGAAGTGAAGTCAAGAATGAAGTGTGCGACACGATGGCACAGTTTCGTTTAGAGTAAACCTATACAGGGTTTCCCCAGGAAATGTATATGCAGAGGTGAGAAATGCGTCAAGGTGCATTTTATTACTCAAAATGACAAGAAATTATATTTAAAAAAACCTAACCGACTGGTTTCCTCTCCATCTACCCAGCCTTCACACACATTTGACTCTCACTCTGTGCCGTTTCTCCACGCAGAATGCTTTGCAAAGAGACACACCAAAAGTTCATTTAGAAACTGTGTTTGAACATAGCGAGCTGTACCTGTACTGCATCAAAGCTGAGAACTTCAAGGGCTCCGGTACTTCTCTGTCGACCTGGGAGAAGAACAGAGACAAGAGAAATAAGAAATGTATTCTCAAAAATGTCTCAAAAACTTGAATCTGTATTAGACTTAAAGGGGACCTATCATGCAAAATGCACTTTTGTACGTCTTTTCTACATGAATATGTGTCCCCGGTGTTCCAGGGAACTCACCAAGTGTCAGAAAACACAACCCTCTCTATTTTCCTCCATACCCAAATCTCTTAAAAAGGGGCTGCAACGGATCTGATACAGACTGATCCAGATTTGAACACTTCTATGACATCACATCTCTCCTAATGCACATGATGTACTAAATTTATAAGGTTAATAACTATCTCTAGAATAAAAGTGATTAACAATTTAACAACCTGACGCACCCTCCGAGCTGTCCTGAGCACTGCATTCTAAATAGCTGTATTCTGTGACATTGTACTGCGGCTACTGACATGCATTTCTGAACTTAGACACGACACATAACACCTGAGGGGTCACATGTAGCGCGACTTCATCCGAGGCATACAACGTACTATAGCAAAGCCTAGAGTTCCGGTCGACGTCGACGACTTGGTCTGTATGCGCATCGTTATTCTTTTAAGAGCTACGTTCACTCCAGCACAGCCAGGGACTCTCAGAGCCCCACTCTTCACTGGTAGGGTACTGGTAGTCTCGTCCGCTCCGTCTCTGTAAGTTGTGCGGGAGGGAGGTGAGGGTCGCGACTTCTTTACTTGGGGTCGCACCTAAACGGACTACGGTGGGCCCAGTATTCTGGTCAACAACACTTACAGAGAGCAACAACTCGTGTTTGTTCAATACTACACGTAGCGTCGTGAGAGTTAGTATTAACAATATATTTTGCGGCCCGCCGCTAGCTAGAAAAATTTCAGAAACAACTATTCGTCGGTGACGTTTTGTTACCTACGGAGTGACCACTAGCGCCAACCGTGTATTTAGTGTCGTCGTAAACCGTATCAGACCGTGGTGCATCCTTATATATACAATCCGGGACCGCCGATTTAATTTCGTTATAGACTGTAGTATTTCACGAGTGACTTCGGTGTCGCGCGTGGAAGAGATATGACAGGGCGATAAAGGACATTAGCACATAACAAGGCGTCCGCTGACGTAGTACAAGCTACAAACTGTGTTTTCGATTTAGCAACTGAATCTGACGAAGACTCTCCTTCAGTCGGGAGACATTTACACCTATGACTCTTCTAACCGAGATGACCGAAAGACGTCGACACTCACAACTTTGTGACTCTTCTTATCAGGTCGAGTATAGACAATAAATTTCTCATTCGGTTCAACTTACCTCCCCCTTTAGTACAGACGTCTCTTATTTGCCCACCTTCACCTTCGACCTTCAAAGACGTCCTCACACTTGGATTCACTAAACCAATGCTACGAAATATGCGTTTGAGTGTGACTTGTTCACCCAAAATTTCACTGGATAGTACCGATTATTAAACTTATTATATGCACATGCTCTGGATGGATATATGTTCTGTAAAAATATCGTAAAAATAAAAAAGTTTTATGGTTTGTCTAGTTACGTAAAATCGGTAAGCGAGTAAAGAGAGTTACATTGCGTGAATAGCAATTACGTAGTACCCGACTAAGACACTCTTGTCGTGGTAGATGTCCGGACCGTATACATGATGTGCGGAGGTCCGCGAAAGGTTGCCCGTTAACAGGCACCGACAGAGGCAGGACTAACCACCTCAACCGGCTTTTTTTTACTGCAT